TCAAGAATACCATCTTGAATTACCTTAGTTAATGTCCAACTAAATCATTCATGATTATCCTTCATAAAAAATATTAATAATTCTTTTACTCATTAATCAAGCCATTTTCACATAACTTATAATCATTATAGCTAATCACATGTTTAAACACTTTTAAACATTTCTATACATATTCACATACTATATTACTCTAGTTATCTCATACATAGTCCATGTATGCATTTTTATACATTTGACAATAATATATTCATGATTAATCCACAAATAAATCTCTTATTCTTTAATCATGTAATATTTCCATAAATCACATTCACCATGACTAATCATGCATTTTAATCCATTTAATCATTTCTCAAATCATGATTATGATTTTATTTAGGTAATCCCATGTTTGACCCAAGATTTACAAGACACGTAGTCGTCCACTCACCTCGAAATGACGCTAGCAAGCTTTTATCCTCTTCGTTTGAACTCCGGCGACTTTTGGAATTTTCCGGTGAAAACTCCGGCGGCTCCGGTGAATTTTCCGGCCACTCCTAGATTCCTTGATAAGTCTAGAATACCTTGGTAAAATTCCTAACAAGGTTTCACAACCAAAAGTGGTATAAACATCAAAACCCTATGGGAAGGTGTTTTCCGGCGAGCCGGTTTTACTCCGGTCATAACTCCGATCATGGTTAAAACTATCCTTCCAACCCCTCATTCTACACATCTAGGAGTGTATAACAAGCTTAGGGTTCTATCATATGATTTATAAAAATCATATGAGATTAAATTAAGGATGGAAAAATATTAGTGAGACCATTACCTTATTTTTTCTAAGTTTCCTTCACTTTCTCCACTCTTTCTTCTTCCTTGAGCCTTCCTCTTGCTTGATGTCGGTTATGTCTATGGAAATGGGAAGTTGCAGACCTCCTCTCTCTTCCTTGGATGCTTTGGGTCGAGATATTAGGGATAGAGAAGTTGAGGGGATTGTTTTGTCTCAAAGGTATGAATGAGATGGGGAAAAGGGTCCCTTGGATGATTTAATTTGTCCCCCTATCATCTCAACTTATTTCTAGACTTTCAATATGGCTCTCCTAACTTATTTTAGACCAAAAATCGTGGGGTGACCCCCACTCATGTGGAAGGTGATGTACTTGTATTTTACACACTTTTTAGGCTTAGTTTGTTGTTAATTTTAGTTATTAAAATTCTACTTTTGTACATATTTTTATAATTTGTCGTTAGTTTGTACTTGTGCAGTCCTACACGGGTATTTTGTATTTTCACGTACTTTTGATGCTATTTGGATACATTAGAGTGAACAAAAGAAGAAAATAAAAGTTCAAGTTGGAGGTCAATAAAAGTGGAATTTCCTTCAAAACAAATAAGGAGTAAATTGAAGAAAAGAAGCAACAATAAAAATGGTGGAGTTGGCATTCGATCCCTAGAGAAAGGGTAGAAGAATGCCTACTACAACCAGTGTGCTAAGTGATCAATGTTGTACATATTCAGCTGCCAATTGTTATATTCCTTCTGAACGCGGCAAAGAAAAGAACAAAATGTTGAAGCCGAGAATCGATCCCACGATCTCCAAACTTTCTACTAAAACGCTTGTACATTGAGCTACCTACCACTATTGGAAATTTATTGCGCTTTGTTGTACATAAACTCGTCTGTTCCGTAAATTCCAGCAATTAATGATTAATCACCTTATCATTATATTGCCTTAATCCATCTTCCTCCACACATAAGCTCGGACCAACCTCTCTCTAAACATCCCAGAAACATTTCCTCCTCCTTCTCTCTTCATTTCTCAACCCCAAATCATCAACCCATCTTCAACCATAACTAATCACTTTCTCATGCAAGATTAAATCAAGATTAGCATCAAAGCTCCAAGGATTGTTATCTATCACAAGTTTGATCTTCCTTATTTCATTAAATCTTGTACTTTAATCATGGATTCATCTATTTCTACGTTTCCCAACATGTATAGCTAAATAAATTTGGGGTTGGAAATTGGTTAATTAATTGTTCTTATAATGTTTTAATTTGTATTGATTTTAATTGTCAAGTTTGTTCTATTTAGATTGTTGTGTCCAGAAAATTAATTATGTTGTGTTTATGATATATATTATGAGTACTCAATCATAAACATATTGTTTGTTAAATACACAAATGAACACTTTCTGAATACACCGTTAAACTTCTTTTACCTTGTCCCGGATTGAAGTTTTACGGGAGAATTTAATTATTTAATTATATTATTTACACCACGGGGTTGGGTAAATAATATAGTTAATAATTAAGGTTGTCGTTGCACTTAAACAACTAGTCTCGTTTTGGCCATCACTGGGAAATGTTGACTAGTTACTTATTTTAGGTGACTTGTGTTGGGTCCTAAAATATTTATCTACAACTTCTCACAATCTATCTAAGAATAAAATTAGCAATTATGTCTTACAAATGAGCGTTGAACAATTAGTTGCCAATTTCTACCCCTACTTGCTATTGGTTGAACTTTGTGTTGATAAAAATCTCCTCTCAATCACTTTTATTTAATTACTTTTCCAAGCAAACAAAAATCAAAAGAAACGCACTCCCAACTTTAATCCTTAGTTTGTGCTTAATTATTTTATTTCCCGTTTCTCTGTGGTTCGACACCCTACTTCCTTGGGTAAAAAAATAGTTGTGTGCCCATTATATGCTACACACCAGGAGGTCATCCCAATATGTCCCGAAATGTGCAATTTGTTTCGAAAGTTGTATTTCTCGGACTGTTTTAATTATATTTTAATTTATCGGGTCAAATAAAATATAAATCATCCTTCCAATTAATATTGGCCTCTAAAATTAATAAATGTTATCCCACTTTAATTTAGCGGTCCCTGGAATTTATTTCGGGCTATTATTTGTTAAATCACCGATACCGATAATGGGACTGCTTTTGCTCAAACGGCCAACTCTATGGCTAAACATAAATATAAATCATCATAAAAATATCATCTAGACCAAGATGAATATAATGTGTGGTCCCGGAAATATCAGATGGTCCCCGCCCATGTATGGGCCCAACGTGCATTTTACTGTTCGAGTAACAGTAAAAATGAGAACGCGTTGCATCCAGAATTCACTCGTCCTTTCTCACGACTTAACATGTAGTTTTATATTTTGTGACAATTTAATAAAATGTTACACTTCTTTTTAAGTGGTCCAAAATGTATGAGCAGATAAAATCTTATCTGTTTGTCCTCATACAAAAATATCTTCAAGGTAGGGTCCTCCAAAAGTACCCTCCTTTAATGTACCAATTTAATCATATATTTATCAACCCATTATTTTGGATTCTTAAAATATTTATATTTCTCCTGTCATTAATTCATAGCCTTCCAAATTATTAATAGTCGGAGAATTAAGAGCTCACAATTATCGGATAGCGGCCCCGGCCCACTTGGCCGTCCAGTTGTCATTCTTTATATCAATGGGGTCCATGACCCATTCCTACTATCAAAATAGTATTGTTTAGATCAACATAAATTTTTTATACACTAAGAATACCACGGGTGGTCCCCGCTCCCGATGTGGATCCCGCGTCTGATTAATAATCCTTTATTAATTTAAGACAAGAATTTCATCTTTCTCATTTATCAAGGCTACTCTTGTCTTGATTTACCTTCGTTAACCATGTTCTTGAAAAAAAATCTCTGGGGAAAATTCGGGTCCGATGTTACACTATGAGGCCAGATGTTGGTGATTTGCCCTCTTCTTGCCTGTCAGAGTTTTTTGTCGTTTACTATGACGTCGTCAAGCATGGCCTTCGGTTTCCTCTGAACTCCTTCTACATCGAATATTTGAACTGGGTTGGCCTGCTACCCTGTCAGCTTACCCCCAACGGCTTCTACTATATAGCCGCGTTCCTGCTGCGTTGCCATCAGTTGAAAGTCGTTCCCAGTGCCGACTTGTTTCGCTTTCTTTTCAACATCGGCCGCAACCCCTCCAAGGGAAATCAGAGCTATGCCTCGCTAGCCCAGGTTGGGGGCGGAGTGGGTTTATCAATGCCCCCCACCTCGTATCACGGATGGAAGGGCATGTTCTTCTTTGTTTGTACAGACCGTGAGGTGGTCTCGTCATTTTCCACATAAGCCACCGTACTGACCCAAGGGCCAGTGTTTGCCCGGAAACACAACTCCGGTGATCTGGGCTCACACGCTGATGATGTGGAGAAGTATCTGAAGCCCGGTCAGTATGATATCGGGAAATTTGTGACCGAGAAGAGGATTAGAGAAGATTCGTAATGTATATGTGGATGATTGTAATACCCTTGAGGTGTGTGGGAATATACTCCATAAATGGGTGAGGCATCTGGTGACGGGGAGAAGGTCGAATCTAAGGTTGTGGTTGAGGAAGGTTGTGCAATCAAATCTACGAAGGGAGAGGGGTATATGTGGAAAGGGTGTTTTCATCTGTTCAGTTATTTTAATTTTTTTATTCAAAATTAGAACTAGTTTCATATTTGTCCATTTAAAAATTAAGTCAATATTATTTTGGTCATTATTTTTACTATTTACCCCGGTTAAATTTTAAATGTTAGTATTATTTTGATCATTATTTCTCCACTATTTACCTTAGTTTAAATTTAAAAGATAGTATTATTTTGATCATTATTTCTTCTATTTACCTCAGTTTAAATTGTTTTTTTTTTTTGGAAAAAAACAAAATGTTGTCTTTAAAGAAGAAGAAAAATACGCACCAATTATTGTTATAAAACAGTGGGACATAAATATCTCCGAATTATTTATATTTTTCCCACAGGTTAAGAGACTAGGGGCAATGAATGCCAGTTCAAAAGACCAAATTAAAGAAGGAATTGCCAGGTGTTTGATCTTCTTGGGAATCAACGGACCATATGCATTCCATTCACGTGAAAGCAGCCGCTACCCCATCCCTGCCCTCCCCCACGCCCCACCTACTGCCTATTTATGTGTATTTTTCTCCCATTTCTTTATTTATTTTTTGCTTCATTCTCCGCCGTCCAAATTCATTCATTAGCCACAATACAGTCCAACCATACCAGATTTCTCCGCCTGTATTTATATTTATATAAATAAAAAAAATCAAGGGTTTTGCTCATTCTTGGTTCTTGCCGCCGTTGATCATTGATTCAAGATGCTGCTGCGAAGCTCCTCTACTCCGATTCTTGGATCGCTTCTTCCAGACACCGCCACAAACCACCACCACCACCCATCGGAAATTGTAACCCCAACCCACCATCATCAATTCAAGAAATTCCTTTGTACCAATCATACTGGATCTCGCAAGTTTTCCTGCAATTCATCACCGAACTCACCCTCACCATCAGTTTCCGATATTTCCAGTAGAGGGTTTAGGAAAGTACTGTCAGATGGGAACTTGGAAAGGTTGGCCGTGAATGATGATCATCACCAGATTCCCCCCTGCAATGTTATTGATGAATTCACACTTGCCCTCCCGATTAAGAAATTTTCCCGGATTGGATTGGAGACCATCCCATCTTTCTCATTCCGTCGTTCAAGAAGTGCCAATGGGGATGAAGAGATCGAGGAAGTAGTTGAAGAAGGAGAAGAAGAAGACGAAGATGAAGAAGAAGACATTGGTGGTGCTAAGCATGGGTTAAAGGTGGAGATGGGTCTTAAGGTTGCAGAAGAGAGAACTCAAAAGGTTGAAGCAGGGAGAGAAATGTGTGGTGTTAGAGGAAATGGGGTGGCCGAGGGAGGATCCGGTTGTGATTGTGGTGGTGGCTGTGGTGGCGGTGGCGGTGGACAAAGGCCGGTGGACTTTTACCGGGGAGGAGGTGACAACAACCATGGATTCAGTTTAGAAGAACATTACAAGAAGATGATGGAGGAAAATCCAAGTAACCCTTTATTCTTGAGGAATTATGCTCAATTCTTGTATCAAGTGAGTCATCTCTTTCAGCCTTTCTATGATATGTTTGAGAACTGGAATATGGTAGGGAGAAGAGAGAACAATTGATGCCAAAGGTTTTTCTTTTTATGTTTGGTTTGACTTTGGAAAATACAAAGAAGTCAGATTTGATTACAGCTTTATAAAGTTTACATGCATTTAAGTTTCTTATTCTTTGGTATTGTTTGGTCATTAGCTTTTTGAATCAAAAAGATATTTCAACTAGTCAACAAATCAGATCCGCTTTAGCTGATCAAACCACTGAAAAAGGCTGATGATCCATTTACCAAACAAGGACTTATGTGTAATAAGAATGTATGAATAACAAAGTGAGTTGGAGCAATTATCTGAAGTTTACTATTAAATCTGGGCAAATTTTATGTTTTTTCAACCCAATTTTTAATTTGGGGTTTTCAATGGTGAACAGACAAAGGGAGATTTTGAAGGAGCAGAAGAGTATTACTCAAGGGCAATTTTGGCTGATCCAAACGATGGTGAAGTTCTTTCACAGTATGCTAAATTGGTGTGGGAGCTTCATCATGATGCTGAAAGAGCCACCACCTATTTTCAATGTGCAGTTCAAGCTGCTTCTCAAGACAGGTTTGGCTTTTCTTCTTTTATTCTCAGAAACTTTTTCCAGATAATTCGTATCAGATCGCATACCATTTTGTTTTTAAGTAGAAAGTGGAATTTCTACTTTTAACTTTTTCATTATTATATCCTTATATACTACTACAACGCCCTTAACCAGTGCTCCATAGGCTCCCACCTATGGTGGAGTAGAAGGTCAGTGGAAAGTAGTGTTTTCGAACAGGTTGAAAGGTGCTTTTAATGGCTTTTCACTGTCTCTATTACACAAAAAGCACTTATTTTATCAAATACTACCAAATTTTACTTTTTCAGAAATACTTTTTTCTCAAACACTACCAACTTTTACTATGGGGGTGTTTGGATTTGATTCTTAAAAGTGCTTCTGCTCCTTCAGGAAGCAGAAGCAGAAGTTGGAGTGTTTGGGTAAAAGTGCGGAAGTGATTCTGTTGCTCTAATTTACTCCTAGAATCAGTTTTTTTAGAAGCTGGGGGTGACCAGCTTCTGAAAACTGATTCTGCTTCTGCTTTTAAAAAGAAGCAGAATCACAATCAGTTCCAAACACCCCGTATGAAGTACTTTCTCCAAAATCACTTTAAAAAATCACTTTTTTGAAGTAGAACCATTCGCAAGAACTCCCTAAAGCACTACTAAAACACAGAGAGACTCTTTTCGGACAAAGAACTGTAGATTGAACCATTTTGCTTTATTCCATTATATTCCAAGCCAAAAACAACGCATAGGTTTGATATCCAAGTAAGGAATCCAATTAAACAAAGTGAAAATCAACACATTTTGGTGTTTGGAAGGCGTACACATTTTGGAGCTGTTTGTGCACACAAGCAATTAAGGGTGTACACATTTGGTGTTTTTCCTGAAAAAATGTTTGTGACAGAGTTCTTCCACATTTCGGTTTGTGACATATGTCCTTATGATCATTCATTTATTGATTTTTGTTTTCTTTCTTTTGCTGGCCAGCAACGTCCATGCTGCATATGCAAAGTTTCTTTGGGAGGTAGATGACGATGAGGATGATGAAGAAAATGATGAAGAACAAACTGCTACTAATAATAGAGCATATCAGCCGAAAGTATTCCAGCCAGGACCAGTGCCTTCTGCAACTGCTTGTTAAGTGATAGTGTCTTCTTGTTTCTTTTGAATAAATAAATTAAATACCCCTAGGGTTTCCTAGGAGACAGAAAATGCTAAATTTTGTATAGTTCCCATTCTTATATTAATTAATATTAGTAGAAAGCATCTTTGTCATTTTTGACAAACCAATCAGATAACGTATATAATGATTACTCGTATTAGTTAATACCTGATAGCTCAACTAATCCTCTTAGACACTCGCAAATTTTGTTTTTACATGGACTTCGAGGTTGTTTGGATATTGGCTTTTTATCCAAAACGTCAGTTTTTTTACAGTGAATACCTTATACTAGACTAGGGGTTGTTTTTGTTGTTTTTTACCGTTAAAACGTTCCAACAAGTAGTGTGTTGGGGCAGAAAACGTTGGAAACCAAACTACTCCAAAATATAAGCATATATGGACGAGGTTTAAAGTATAAACATTAGGTCAGCTTTAAAATTTCAATAATAAACGTCCAAGCCTTAATCCCAAACGAATTTGGGGTTGGTTAACATGAATCGATCAATGATATCAATGTCATACAGAGAAGACGAACAAGAAAGAGAAAGAAAATAAGTAAGATAAAATGAATAAAATAAAGATAAATAAATATAAGATAACAATAACACAAGAATATAAGAAGGATAAAGATAAAAAAGAGCATAAAAAGTTAGAATATAAAAATAACATAAGAATATACAAAGATAAAGAAGATAAATGATAAAAGAAAAAAGGGAGGAAAGGTAGAAAAGACATCAAACGTCCACATGGATGTGCGCTCTCTCCCTTACTCTCTCCAAAGTCATACTCTCATCCAATCCAAGAAGGCGCATATCAGTTCTGATTCCTCTAACCCAAGTCTGTTTGGGTCTTCCCTCCCTCTTTTCTCCGCCTCTTCTTCCCACCCCTCAAGTCGTCTAACAGGTGCATCACTCGATCTTCTACGCACATGTCCAAACTACAGCAAACGAGACTCCTGCATCTTATCTTCTATAGGTGTTACTCCCACCTTTTGTTTGATTATCTCATTCCTCAAACGGTCTTTTCTGGTATGTCCACACATCCAACGCAACATACGCATCTCTGCCACACTCATCTTTTGAATGTGACATTGCTTCACCGCGCAACACTCTACGTCATACATTAAAGCAGATTTAATTGTTGTTCGATAAAATTTACCCTTCAGTCTAGTCGGCATACATCGATCGCATAGAAATCTCGAAGCACTCTTCCATTTCATCCACTCAGCTCTGATTCTATGGCATACATCTCCATCTAATTCACCATCCTTCTGAATTATGGAACCCAAGTAACAGAACATATCACACACCGGTATCTCCTTACCATCAAGAGAAATCTCACTGTTGCTATTACTTCTACCTCCACCAAACTTGCACTCCATATACTTAGTCTTGCTTCGGCTCGGTCTGAAACCCTTGATCTCCAATGTTTATCGTCGTACTTCGAACTTTGCTTTAACACCGGAATGTGTCTCATCAATCAATACAATATCGTCGGCAAACATCATGCACCACGGTATATCTTCTTGGATTGACTTCGTAAGTTCATCCATGACTATGCCAAATAAGAAAGGACTCAGAGCAGATCCTTGGTGCACTCCGATAGTAATAGGGAACTATGCGGTCCTCCCTACACTAGTGTGGACACTTGTAGTACAAGCATCATACATATACATGATGATACTGATATACTTATGTGATATGCCTTTTCTAGTTAAGGCCCACCACATGACTTCTCGAGGTACCCTATCATATGCCTTTTCTAAGTTAATGAACACCAAATGCAAATCATTTTTAGTGTCTCTATACTTCTCCATAACCTGTCTAAGAAGGTGAACGACCTCAGTTGTTGAGCGTCCAAGCATAAAACCAAATTGATTCTCCGAAATTTTCACACTTTTACGAAGTCATTGCTCAACCACTCACTCCCAAAGTTTCATGGTGTGACTCATAAGCTTAATCCCTCGATAGTTACGCCAACTCACTGGCATTATGTTGTTTCTCCAAATCACTAAAATTTCATTGGTGAAAATATTTTAGTTATTAATAAAATGACCTAGCAAGAAAGAACTGAACCAATTTAAATATAACTAGAAAGTTGGTATCTAAATAGTAAATTTGTTAAATTATGAAAATCTATTTTTATTATGGTATCCTTGTTCATGAGATATTTGGGATTATAGTTGAGTAAGAGAGATTATTTCGTAGGATGATTTGATCGAATAATCTGAGATCAAAATATGAGTTCGTATTATCTTGAGATCATTTATGAAATCAAATTTAATTAGTTAATGTAGGACCAACAAAAGATCGTATTATTCCGAGAAGAGAGTTGAAGGTAATTTTAAAAGTGTGAGGTTATTTCTAAAGTAGGGATAAAAAAACTGTTATGTGGGAAGCATGAATTAGGATGCTTTCCAAATGGAGTCCAAATGAGGTAAAAGACTAAAAGAGGTCAATGAATAGTAAAAAGTAAGGATGAATGAGTATTTTGGAAGTAATGATGCTTACCAAAATTTGGATGCTTACCAAAATTTGGAAAAGTGGAAGTTAAATTTGGGAAAGGAGGAAGTGATAATTTTGCAACGGCATGTCTTGCAAATTAAAATCCAAATTGCCACTACGGTTCAAACGCTTTCCTTCTCTAATCTTTTTTCTCCATGCTTTTCCTTTACATTTTTACATTTAATCCACGCCCGGAAAAAAGAAAAGTTTTCTCCTTTTAACTCCTACTAGTAGGCTAGTATATACAAGTGTTGGCCATGCTATTGAAGAAGTAGACCTGTTTAGCTTCATCTCAACCATTTTATATTTTTTCTTTGAATTTTTTTAGAAAAGAAAAAAATATAGGGGACATTCCTCATATAGTATTTACTTAATGAAACTTTAATTGCGAGAATATGAGTAAATTTTCAAAATTCCCTAAAGAGGACTAGATTTCCAATTCTATCCTTGCTTTGTTTTAGTGCAATTCATATTTCATTAAAAATTAAAACATAAATGTAATAACATAACCTTATTTATATATATATACTTTTTATATATTTTTAACTATATTTTTAAATATTGAAATACTTTTTTATTATTATAATGTAAAATATAATTATCCTATTAAATTATGGTAAGGGTAGAAACGTAGAATAAGAAGATAGAGTGTACTTTAGTCATATTTTGGGAAGATAAATAACATAATCCTATTTGTGCATTTAGGGACTAGTTTAGTCCTATTTTGGTGCTATTTTTCTCAAAAATATATTAGTGGTGGAATCAAGTTAAGAAAATGAAAGAGAAAATAAATAAGTGTAAGTAAAAGAAACTAAAGTAAAAAGTTAATACAATGAGAAAAAGATATTTTATAAGAAAGAAACTAATCCGAAAAATGTATAAAAATAAAAATGAAATAATAAACGAGGAGAAGAAAAAGATGGAATACCTAAACATTGAAAATAATAAAAATAAAAAATTGAAAAGAAATAAAAATAATAAGAAGATAAAAAGGGGAGTAGAGAGTCAAGACGATAAAAATACAAAGGGAAAAGATTTAGGGAGGAAAAAAATGATAGGTCAGACCGCTCAGAGAAGATTTGTGAAAGGTGTGATTTATTGTATAACGTTTCGCAAAGATAAGAAAATAACTTGGAATGACAGGTTATAAATCCGTCATGGACCAACGAATGAAGATGAGGTGCAAATGTTGGATTATTCCTGAAATACGTAAAGGTGAGACTATTGTAAAAAAAACGCTAAAAGATTGGATTATTAATTTCCATTTTTCCCAAAAAATATTGAACCATGTAATGCATAGCTGACCAACAAAGAAAGTAAGAATCGGAAAAAGGAAAGAAAAAGATTTAAAAGGAAACGGAAAAGGAAGAAAATAAGGAAATAAAGAAGAAAGGATAGAGGAGTGACATTGGAGCTAGACTGCTAGACGCAAAAAGTGATACGGCCATACGGGAGTGATGGAAGAAAGAGCAGGAAGAATAAAGTAGAAAAAAGAAAAAGAAATAAGGAAAATATTAATTGTATTTGAGATTAAGAATGTTTTTACTTGACTGAAATTTTGTTGTTTAATCTGGATTGGTCTGAACTAGTATGATCTGATAAAATCTGGTTCTTGTGTATTTTATAATTGTCCAAATCTGATCTAATATGAACTGAAAACAATCCAAGTAAAAACATTAACACCCAATATTATTTGTGACTTTTTCCTTTTAAATAAAGGCGTGGGAAAAATTTATTTTGCAAATGATTAGAACAAAATCATATACTCGTTCGATTTCTTATTCAATGCAAACATTCTAATAGGATGCTCATATATAAGGCGTACTACAAATCCATTTAAAAATACTTCTTCCTTCCCATAAAAAAAATCACCTATCATTTTGAGATGTTTTAAAAAATTCTTCCAATTTTCCTTTTTGAAAGTTGTGTTACTAACATTCATTTACATTTTTCTGATTCAATCACAATCATACATTTTCATGTTGTTCACATTTTCTCAACTTCCCGTACAAATCAAAAGCTAGAGATGTTCATTACTCACATGGGAAGTTCTTAACCAGGACCATTATTCAAAGTACGATGTTTTCGAATTGTGATTTCTGCATCTGTTGAAACTCGTTTCGTTCGGTTTCTTTATCACATATATAGGACAAAAATATGCGATGTAATTAATGTTTACAAATTTGATTGTAACGTATAATCAAGTACACATAATTGTAACATTAATGTTTACAAATTTGATTGTTACTCATCAGCCCTTTGAAGCCATAAAGTAAATAATTTAAATAGTGTTAATCCGGTTAGGAGTTAGGACCGGTCCCAAGCTATATACACTTCTACACTGTACACAGTGTTGGGTACAGTACTGGTTCCGGATATGGTCCGGGACCTGTATGTTCCAATTTAAACAGCCCCAGATCAAGCTTGTACTTGCCCAGTTCGTGCAATTCTGGGTACCAAATCCATCGGTAGGAAATTTTGAATGAAAGAAATCATGACAAAATTTTAAGAGCATCAGAATCAAACGAACACTGTCAAGAGTCACACCCACACACAATGCAAAAAGATGTAGTACCTCTTAGATTGAAGAAAATAGAAAAGCAACCAAAGAGGACAAAAGGAACAAGTAGATTGTATGTTTTGCACACTTCAAAAGGAGAATAAGGATGAAACAATACCCTAACATCCTCTCAT